TAAAAAAGGGTTTTCAATACGTTTGACCAAAAGCGTGTTTTCTCGTTTTTTCTTGAAAGTTTACAACACCTTTACTTTTATTCTTTTTTCGTTACACACTTCAACGTGTGTACGCGAAAAAGCCGTCAAAAACTTTGGGTTTGTACTTTTCAATTGTGTTTTATATCATGCCTCGTCTCAGTGATGCGCAACGTCAAGAAGCTCTTGGCATGCTGAGAGCAATGTGGCGGTTTCTGCAGTCAGTAGAACTTTCAATGTGACGAGAGATACTATCCAAAAGCTAAGGATACACTTCCAAGCAAGTGGTTCGGTTAGTGATACTCCAAGGTCTGGTCGTCCTCGTGTCACTGCTGCTGTTGAAGACAATCGGATCAGAGTTCCACACTTGCGGGATCGGTTTCAAACAGCTTCTAAAACTGCCAGAGATTGGCCTGGGTATAGACCAATCAGCCGCATCACCGTTCGTCGACGTTTGAAAGTCCACGGAATCGTTGCCCGACACCGAGCTCGACACACTCGTCTCCTCCAAAGACACCGTCAGGCCAGACTCCACTGGGCACATCTGCACCGGCAGTGGAACAGAGTGATGTCTTCTGACAAGTCTAGATTTCTTTTGGATCGCCACGATGGAAGGCAGGAAGTCTAGCTGAGACGTCATGAACGTTATTTATCTCAGTGTGTCAGTGCTGTTCTGACCAACGTAGCATTATGAGAATCCATAACCAGTACTGATAACATCGATCTAGTCATTATCGACGGTAATCTGACTACCCAGAGGTACATCAATGACGTTCTCCATCCACACCTTCTGCCGTTTCTTGCTCGCCACAGGAACAATCTCGTGGTCCAGCAGGACAACGCACCAGCACACTGTGCATTTGGTACCCAGAGATTCTTACAACAAAAATGACGTACATGTTATAACACCTTGGCCAGTATTATCCCCAAATTTAAACGTGATTGAGCACCTCTGGGACACGATGGACAAGGAAATTCGCACACTTCGGCCACCCCTAACGACAATCCCACAACGGCAGCAATCATTAATTGATGCTTGGAATAATGTCCCCCAGCAATTTCCCCAACGGCATGTACAATCCAAGAAGCAGAGATGTACTGTAGTCATCAATGATGGTGGGAGTTACTCCCGTTACTAATTCTGGGATTTTGGACATTTGAATCGGTGTTATTAATTTCTAATAAAAAATGTGCTTTTGATCGTTTTTCTTCGTTTTTATTTGTTGAAAAAATGGCAAACCTTTCAAAATTCATTGGCAATACGGCATTACTACGGTAAAGAGCGGAAATAATCCACAGAACGCAGGGTGCCCCCTTTCATTTGCTCGTCAGTATATTTACTTTTGTCAACCATTTCGCTGGCGGTATGGCGGGGTAAATTTATATTAATTTAATGAGGACCGTGCAACTTAGATCTAGATGATTAACGGATATACTTAACTACTACTAC